CATCTGTGTCCATGAGTTGTTGTTTTTCTATGCTTAAACCCTTCTCCCTTCACCCAGTCTCACAACCCCTTCCCTTCTGACAACTGCCCAGTGTTTTTCCTTCTATGACTCTGTTGCTATTTTCTTGTTAATTTATTTTTGCTCATTAGATTCCCCATGTATGTGAAATCATACGGTATTAGTCTTTCTCTGACTGGCTGATTTCACTTACCCTAATGCTCTCCAGGTCCATCCACGCTGTCACAAACAGTTAAGATTCCCTTCTTTTACACAGCCAAGTAGTATTCCATTCTGCCAATGTACCAAAGCATTTTTATCCACTCATCTATTGATGGGCACATGGGCTGCTTCCACATCTTAGTATTGTAAATAACACGGTAATGACCATAGCAGTGCGTATATTCCTTCCAATCAGCGTCTCTGATTTCTTGGGATACATTCCCAGAAGTGGAATCATTGTTACATGGAAGCATGGAAGTTCCATTTTTTATTTTTTGAGGTAACTCCTTGCCTCTTTCTGCAGTGGCTGCAGAAAATGTATTCTCCTCATAGGTGTGCTTCTCTGTACCTGCACACAATGGTGAGCCCCACGCAGCATCACAGGCTTATCTTAAGAGGCCCGTGGGGTGGACAGGAGGGACCCAAGGCTTACACAGGGTTTCTCCACGGACCTCACACCCCAGGCTCTTCTCATCACTGTGTATCCAGAGGCGTCTTGGAAGCAGGAATTCAGGTAGCCAGAGCCCGTCCCACCGTGGTTATGTTTAAGACCTGGCCTTCTTTTCTTTTCTCTTTTTTGCATAGTTTTCTCACAGTGAAACTTACCATTTTCACTGTTTTCCGGTTCACAGTTCAGTGGTGTTAAGGGCATTCATACTGTTCTGCTGCCCTTACCACCATCATCTCCATCAAGTTTCCCATCTTCTCCCACTAAAACTTTTATGCCTTTTATACCCTATCCTCTGTTCCCCAACTCCTTGCCTTGTGAAGATCACTTTGTGATTTGACATTTGAAAAAATATTTGAGATGTGCCTTGAGATCACCAGTACGATTTAGGCAGATGAAGAGGGTGTGATATACTTCTGGTACATAGAGTGGGCACGTGGCCTTGAGGCAGGAGAGATGAACACTGGAGCCCTGAACACACAGCATTCTGAGGCCAGTGAGTGAGGGGCAGGGCAGGGAAACAGAAGATCTTCCATGGAGGGGGCAGGGCGGAGGAGAAAGGGAACCAACCACAGAGTGGTCAGAACAAGGTAGATAGTGGGCCCTCCGTGAGAAGGCAGTGAGAACAGGGACTGAGGGAAGGGACAGAGCTGGAAGTACTGGGAACCCTTCAAGGGGGAACAGGGGACCCTTTATGGAGGGGGCAGTGTCCCCTGTCATCTCCCCCTCCTCTCCTGTCCTCCTTGCTCTTTCCCCACCATGGAGGGTTGCCAGTCTTCCCTACCCGGCCACCTCCATGAAGGGCCCCCTCTTTCTCTGCCCTACACCATCCATTAACCGTCCCCTGTCCCCCTGCCCTGTACCCTAATAGGAGGGTCCCCTCTCTCCCTTGCTCTGTACCCTAAATGGAAGGCCCCTCTCCCCCTGCCCTATACTCTAAATGGAGGGTCCCCTCTCCCCCCTGCCCTGTACCCTATATGGAGGGTTCCCTGTCCTCCCTGTCCCGTACCCTAAATGGAGTGTCCCCTCTCCCCCCTGCCCTGTACCCTCCATGGAGGGTCCCCTGTCCCCCCTTTCCTGTACCCTCCATGGAGGGTCCCCTGTACCCCTGCCCTATGCCCTCCATGGAGGGTCCCTTATCCCCCCGTGCCCTTTATCCTCAGGGAGGGTCCCCTGTCCCCCTGCCCTGTACCCTTCATGGAGGGACTGCTAACCCAAGTCCTCCCTCCATAGAGGGTCTCCAGCCCCCCTGCCTGCCCACTTTATGTAAGGTCCCCTGTCCTCCCTGCCCTGGCCCCTCCATGAAAGATGCCACATCTGCCCTGCCAGACCCCGTCCGTGGAGGGTCCACTGTTCCTCCTGCCTTCCCCACTGCATGGTGGGGGCAGGACAGAGGGCACTGGAGACCCCCATTTCCTCTGCCCTGCCCCATCCCTCAGATTCCCATGACCCCAGTCTCCTGCCGCATCCATGGAGGGTTCCCTGACCCAGTGCCGTGCCCTGTTTCTTCCATGGAGGTGGTCCTGTCCCCCTGCTCTGCTTCCTCCATGGATGCTCCCTGTTTTTCTGTCCTGCCACATCCATGATGGATCCACAGTCCACCCTCCATGGAGGATCCCCTACCTCCCCTGCCCTGTACCCTCCATGGAGGGTCCCCTGTCCCCTCTGCCCTGCACCCTCCCTGGAGGGTCCCCTGTCCGCCCTGCCCTGCCCCCTCCATGGAGGGTCCCCTACCCCCTGCCCTGTACCCTAAAGTAAGGGTCCCTGTCCCCCCTGCTCTGTACCCTCCATGGAGGGTCCCTATCCCCCCTGCCCTGCCCCCTCCATAGATGGTCCCCTACCCCCTGCCCTGTATCCTCCATGGAGGGTCCCCTACCCCCTTTCTCTGTACCTTCCATGGAGGATCCCGCTTCCCCCCTGCCCTGTACCCTCCATGGAGGGTCTTCTGTTTCCCTGCTCTGCCCTCACTCACCGGCCTCTGAGAGGTGTGTGCTCAGGTCTCCAGTGTTCATCTCTCCTGCCTCCAGGTCGCGTGCCCACTCTCTGTACCTGAAGCACATCTCACCCTCTTCATCTGTCTAAATCCTACCCCTCAAATATCATTTCAAATGCCAAATCACAGAGTGACCTTTAAAAAATATGTCTGATCATGTCATTCTCCTGCCTAACCCACCAACGGGCCCTTTATCCACTGCCTCTCCTGCACCCAGCCAGCCTGGTTCTCCCTGCCCCGGGGGCACTGCTGTACCTTAGGTGGTGGCTTCCCCTTCACCATGGGGCCAGCTCTTTCGCAACAGTCAAGTCGGAGTTTCAATCTGACAAGATCTTGGGAAGCTCTCCATGAGCCTGCTGGGGAATCACCCAGCAGTGGCCTAACCCAGCCTTGTGGGGTATCATGTGGCAACAGGTCACAGAAATAAGACAGTCACAGAGGTAACCTGGCAACTGTCCTGGGTTAGGCAGGTGGGCAAAGTTAACCAGGTGTTTTTCTGTTTGTAAATCAGTGAGTGGACATTTATTGAGCACCATTGTTGCTTCCTAGTCTCAGCTCCTAAGAGTTTTCTTCATGGCTCTGAGTATCTTCTGAAATAAAGTGCTGTTGTTCACTCGTCTTCCAGCCCCTCAGCACTTGAAAAGTAACCGGTGAAGGCCTGCCCACAAAGCCCAGGTCCAGGGAGGGCATCAGGAGGAGCACATGTGTTCAATGAGTTTGGGACTGAAGGGCTCTTTTCTGATTTCATAGAATGTTATTTTGTAATAAACCTGATTCATTATCATATAAACACATATGACTTCTTAAACCTCTTTAGAATATCCCAAACTAGAGGTTCGGTGCACAAAAACTTGTGCACTCAGGGGGGAGTGGTCCTTCAGCCCGCCCTGTGCCCTCTCACAGTCTGGGACCCCTCGGGGGATGACCACCTACCTGCTGGCTTAGGCCCACTCCCCGGGGGACTGGGCCTAAGCTGGCAGTCAGACATCCCTCTGGAAGCCTGGGAGCCCTCGGAGGATGTCCACTTGCCAGCGGGAAGCAGGCCTAAGCTGCAGTTGGACATCCTTAGCGCTGCTGAGGAGGCAGGAGAGGCTCCAACCACCACCAGTGTACTGGCAGCCATCAGCCTGGTTTGTGGCTGAGCAGAGCTCCCCCTGTGGGAGTGCACTGAACACCAGGGGGCAGCACCTGCATTGAGCGTCTGGGTCCAGGTGGTCAGTGTGTGTCATAGTGACCTGTCATTCCCAGTTGTTCTGCTGTTAGGGTCAGTTTGCATATTACCCTTTTACTATATAGGATAGAGGCCTGGTGCATGGGTGGGGGTCCCGCTGGGTTGTCTGGCCAGCCTGGGTCAGGGGCTTATGGCTTTTTGCAGGCTGGTCAAGCTTCCCCCACCCCCATGGGAACCCTCACCCCATGGAGGTTTGGCCAGTCTGGGTGAGGGGCTGAGGGCCATTTTCTGGCTGGCCAAGTGCCCCCGGCGACGGAAGCTCCCAGCCTCGCCTTCTGTTCTTTTTATTCTGGGATTTATTTACCTTCTATAATTGAAACTTTGTTGCTTTAAGTGGAGCTCAGAGCCAGCCGCGGCAGTGAAGCTTGGCTTCCTGCTCGCTCCAGCTCCGTGGCTATGGCCGGCTGAAAGCAATTTCCATGTTTGTCTTTTATTAGTGTAGATAAAAAATTCACAAATTAAAATTTTTATTTTTTTATTTTTAATTGTTTTATTGCTTAAAGTATTACAAAGAATATATGTCTCCTTTTTTTTTCTCCCCTTGACCCTCCCCTAGCCTCCCATGCCCCCCAGTGTCTTGTGTCCACTGGTTATGCTCGTATGCAGGGTGGATTAAAGTGTGAACCCTGGAGCAAGATTGCCTGGATTGACTTTCTAGCTCCACCACTCTCCTTGAGAAGTAGAGCAAGTTACCTAACTCATGAGCCTTAGGCTCTTCATTTCTAAAATAGAATATTTACACCCGAGTGTTTTATGAAAAATAACTAAGTTTAATAGAAAGAGCTCATCAAAACCACAAAGAGGTGCCACTTTACACCCATTAGGGTGGCTATTATCAAAAAACAAAATAACACCAGAAATAACAAGTGTTGCAAAGGATGTAGAGAAACTGGATCCCTGGTATACTGCTGATGAGAATGTGAAAATATACAAACACAGTGGAAAATAGTAAGGTGGTTTCTCAAAAAATTAAAGTTATGACTCAGCAGTTACTGTTCTAGGTATGCACTCACAAGAATTGAAAACAGAGATTCAAACTAATATTTTAGACCCATGTTCTCAGTAGTGTGGAAGGAACAAAAAGTGGAAGCAACACAGTATCATGCACAGATGATTACACAAAATATGACATATACACACAATGAAATATTTAATTTTAAAAAATTCTGACACACATATGGATGCACATTGAAAACACTATGCCAAGGGAAATAAGCCAGGCACAAATGCATAGACAGAAAGCAGAATGGTGGTTCCCAGTGACTTTCAGGGCAGAGAATAGAGAGTTGTTGTTTAATGGGCACAGAGTTTCAGTTGGGGGAAGATGAAAAGCGTTCTGGAAAAAGATGGTAGTGATGGTTGCACAATGGAAGGTGCATAATGCCACTTAAAAAATGTTAACAATACTGTATATCTTATTTTTTGTGCCAAGCCAGCTCACCAGGTTCAGTGAGCCTGAGAGGGGGAGGTGAAGGATTGAGAAAAGACAAGAGAAAATTGCTGGGTCTGGGTGGGACGCTGTCCTCTCTGATGGAGAGCGAGCAACAGTGCCACAGCCTGTAAGTCACGTCTTTATTTTATAGCCAGATTCCATGAGGCAAAGTAAGGGTATGGTTACAACATTCTCCTGCGTTTCGAATCTACTCAGTTACATGCACCTGAACTCTATCAAGCCCACATCACTCAGCCATGTGGGACCACAGGCTCAGACCATAGGTTCAAGCTTACAACTACAGCTTTTGGCTATAATTGTGCTGGGAGGGCTTTGCCCTCCAAACTAGGACTTACACGTGGCTTTGCCACAAGAGGACTGTGCCCTCTCATTAATCTGTGGGTTGAACAGTCCAAACACTGTGGCTACTCTCCACATTTTAAAAAATATTTTCATTAATCTCAGAGACAGGAAAAGAGAGGGAGTAAGAGAGAGAAATAGAAACATCAATGATGAGAATCATTGATTGGCTGCCTCCTGCATGCCCCCAACTTGGGAATGTAGCCCACAACCGGGCAATTGCCCTGACCAAGAATTGAACCCTGACCTCCTGCTTCATGGGTCAATCCTCAATCCCTGAGCAACACTGTCAAGGCGAACGTGTATTTTACAATTTTAAAAGCTCAGAACAGAGTCTGCCACATAGTAAGTGCTCAATAAACATTAACTATCCTTAGGGCTTTTGAAAGAGAGAAGATGTCATCTGAGCTGGGACTTACTGGATGAGTAAGACGGATAGCAGTTACAGTAATAATTAACATCAACCCTTTATGAATAAAAAGTCAGATATTAGGTGAAAGGGGTCTTCAAATACTCGACAAAATTTAAAATAAATTAGTAACTATTATATGCTAGGCATGGGGATTATATTGATGGAGTCTGAAACACAAATAGGTAAGCATGGAAAATTAATATGTTCAAGGATCAAATACCTCTTACTTAATTCCACATTTTATAGGCCAGTTTGCAATAGTTACTTAAAACTTTTGGACTTTAAAGAACTCTGGTTACATCTTAGGTCATCCGATTTTTCCACAACCCCACCATTCCACTCCCTTTCCACTTATTTTTCTACTAAAATCCCAAGTATGCCTTTTAATAACTCAATAAAATGTACACTTAAAATGGATGCATTTTATTTTGTGTAAACAGTACCTCAATAAATTTCATTTGCAAACAAAACAAAATGACAGTATATTTTTAAGAGTTCATTTAGAAAAAAACAAAATGGCAATTTTTAATTAAAATATGAATACCTTATTTTTTTCACTTTTAAAAAATATGCTTTTATTGATTTTAGAGAGAGAAAGGGAGGAGAGATAAAAACATCAATTGGCTGCCTCTTGCATACCCCCTATTGGTGCATGTGCCCTGACCAGCAATTAAACCATGACCTCCTGTTCCATGGGATAATGCTCAACCATGAGCCACACTGACCGGGTTGAATACCATCTTTTTAAGAAATTAATGTATTATGGATAAAGCTAAAGTTTCCTTTGACCACCCTCCCAATCTTCACTGCCACCCCTTATCTCTCCCATTTATACTGTCTCCCCCAAATAATCACTGCTCTAAGTTTGGTATGGGTTCTTCTGAACCTTTAAAAATATATTTACATACATATATAGTCACTGAAAATGTATAGTACTGTATATATCTTTCTGCAATTTGCTGTTGTCACTTAACTTGTTTCTGAAATGTATCCACGTTCATATAGGTAGTTTATTTTTAAAATGTGATATAAATAATCTATTATATGACTATAGTGCATTTTATTTAGCCAGACCTTTTCCCTCCTGACAGATATTTAGGTTGCTTTTCTCTATTACAACTCACCAGTGTAGTGGTAAATAGCAGTTACCACTGGGTGGCCATAGGAATGGGAGATGGCGTTCTGTAAGGTTCAACTTTTTACAGTGAGAATGCATTCTTGTATTATTTATATAATTTAAGTACTGAATTAAAGAATTTTCTGATACATAAATTATCAAAAAAGAAAAAAAAACAAAATTAGTAACAGGAAGCAGTCATCTATTAAAATATATGGAAAACAAAGTTATAGGGCATAACATTGTACTCATGGTTTGAGACATAAGCACTTACTGACAAATAGTGATGTGAGCACTAAACAGGTCATATAAACATTTTCCCCTATTCAAAGCAATTACAATGAAAATATCAGCATATGGGTTATCTTAAGTAAAATTATTAAACCAATAAGCCTTACAATTTCCTGATCCCCAGCAGCCCTGGAGAGACAAGGCATCATTTGCGAGCCCATTATCAGACAAGCACTGTGCACATAAATCCTACATGAGACATGGGCCTGCCCTCACAGAGCTCACAGCCTAGTAAGGAGAGTAATAATTAAGCATGTGCCAGGTAGACAGGTAACAAAATGGAAAAGATCAGCTTCATTGGAATGACTAAGCTGGGTCTTAAAAGATGAAGAGTTTACCAAGCAGGCCTTAGGCAGCAGAACAAGACATGGCAAGGTAGAAATGTAGCACAGTGTAGATGACAAACTGTAGTAATTCCGGCTGGCTAAAGCACTAGCTACCTATTTCCTGGGTAGTGGCAAAATACAAGGATAGGTAGGCAGATGCCCTGATCCTGGAGGTCTTGAGAGCCATTCTAAGGAATACGAATTTTGCCACTGAAGAGCTGTAAGAGGTGAAAGTTCACTCTGGCAGCAGGGTAGAGATGAATCCGTAAGGGACAAGCTTCTAGACAGGTACAGCAATTAGGAAAACAACCATCCTTTTCCAGATGGACAGCAATAATGACAGTGGAAAAGGAGGGGTAAATGAGGTCTTCAGGTAGAACTGACAGCAATTAAGACTGGATAGTAAGGAAAAGAAAGGAATATCTAACATGACTCCTTGGTTTCTGGCTCAGATGAACAAAGGACAGTCATTCATTAACCAGGATAGGACATGCTGGGAAAGAGGAACAGGCTGAGAAAAAGATGGCTTCAGGTAAAGCCCCCTGAACATGGGATCTAGGAAGATGCCCAATAAGCAGCTGAAATATAGGATGGACCTCAACTGCTTTTATTACTTTAGCATTAGTTCATATCTCTCAGCTATCAAAATTTTATCAGGGTATTAACAGGACAAAATTGACTGCTATTAAAGTTTGGATCTTCTCACCGACACTATACACCCTATACCTTAGGAATTAGCAAAGGAAGAAAACAAAAAAAGAGGGACAGTTGAAGGGAGGAAGGAAGAAGCAGGGAAAAAAGCAAACACCTTTTAACATGATTAACTGTCTACCTACACATTACTTAAGAAACTCTACCTTAAGGAAAACAATTCACTGTTGGACGATACAATGTTAGACTTACCTCTCTTTCCTCCTTCTTGAGTCACAATTTTTATCTTTATCTTTATTTCTTTTTCGTTTATGTGGGCTCCTACTCCGATCCCTTCTATGCCGTGAACACTCAGCATCCAAATAGCTTCCACCAGACTGCCGTGAATCTACTGAAGCTGATCGCCTTTCTTCTCTCCTGAAACAGACAGGACCATCCATCAGTTTGCTTTCTTCACTGGTCTTCAGTGTGCACCAGCCTAAAGTTATTGTTCTGCTTCAGACCAATGATACAGGATCTAAATAAGTATGTGAAATCTTATAAGTCATATAAGAAGGCAAAGAGACACCGTTTTTATAACATGTTTTACAACTCCGGTGTAACAATCCTGAGCAAAGATGAGAAACAGCAAGTGCTCTGATGAATTCTAGTGTGCTACTGATGCCCTTGGAAATGCTAAAACTTAAATGATTTTAAGAGTTTAAAAAGAGAATATTTTCACCAATAAACACAATGACATACTTTTCAGCATCATCCTCTGCTTTTTCCTGCTCTTCTTGCCAATTATTACTGAGTTCTTCCATGTGCACATTTATCACATCCCGAATCACCTTAAAGAGATAAGCACAGAATTTCAGATAAGAAAGCTATTCACAAAATTAAGTTTAGTGCTAGAAATAATCACTGCTGACAATAACATATTTATTAAAAGCTATGATAAAGTAGACTGTGGGATGTTTGCAGTTTAGAAAACATTAAAAAGACAAGTCAAATTGGAATATGAATGGCAGATTAAAGTATATCCATGTTAAATTTGCTAAAGTTAATAACTATACTATGATTATGCAAGAAAATATCCCTATTCTTCAGAAATAGTATTAGGGATAAAGAATCATGATGAACAGCTCAGAAAAAAATTAATGTACAGATAGAGACAGAGTAAAATGTAACAATAAAGAGTACAAATGATAAGCAAATGGAGCAAAATGTTAACAATGGTGAACTGTATGAAAGACACACAGGAGTTCTTTGTACTATTTTCAGTTTTGCAATTTATTTGTCTGTTTGAGATTTACAAGTAAAACTCTTTCTAAAGAATCTTATAATTAAGTCAAGATGACAGACAAAGCATAAAACACACACTCACTTCAGATACTTTCCCAGTGAGCCTGTAGGTCCCTCACCTAAGAACCATTTAAAAGTTTTTTCC